AAATTTTGGAATAAAAATATATGTTTAAATGTATATTTTTCAAAATTTAGAAAGAAATAAGAAATGGGTGATTATAAAGATTTCTGTTTTTTTTTATTAATGATTGTTCAAAATGTTTCAACATGATTATATACTTAACCTTATTTAATCACATTGGAAATATTAGTCATAATATCAAAATTAAATCATAATCCTATGATTTCATAAAAGAGAAAAACATAGAATAGAAAATAATTGGTTCCATACAATTTAGTCGAGACTATATAACGGTATTGTCAACAGTCGTTACTTTAGAACTCTCTATAGTCAAGACTATTAAACTGACAATAGTCAAGACTATAGAACTGACTATAGTGAAGACATAGAACTGTCTATAGTCGAGACTATTGAACTGTTTATAGTCGAGACTATAGAACTTTCTATAGTCAAGACTATGGACAGTCCTATACTCTTGACCATAGGCAGTTCTATAGTCTCGGGTCAAGGGTATAGGACTGTCCATAGTCTCGACTATAGACAGTTTTATAGCTTCAACTATAGACAGTTCTATAGCCTCAACTATAGACAGTTCTATAGTCTCGACTATAGACAGCTTTAAAGGGTTCACAATTCTATAGTGTCGGTCAAGAGTATAGGACTGTCCATAGTCTTGACTATAGAAAGTTCTATGTATAGTCTCGACTATAGACAGTTCTATACTCTCACCTATAGACAGTTCTTTAGTCTCGAGTATAGACAGCTTTAAAGGCTCCACAATTCTATGGTGTCGATTATAGAAAGTTCTATAGTCTTGGCTAAAGAAAGTTCTACAGTCTCGGCTATAAAAAGTTTTATAATCTCTACTATAGGCAGTTCTGTAGTCTCGACTATAAATAGCTCTATAGACTCCAATATAGAACAGTTATACAATCTACATATATTTTAGATAGTTCTATAGCCTTAACTATAGTCACGTCCATGTTTTAGACTATAATAATTGTGTTAAAATTTGTAACAATATTTACAAGTTCTATATGAACTGTATATAGTCAAGGCAATTGAACTGACTATAGTCAAGACTATAAATAGAACTGACTATAGTGAAGATATAGAACTGTTTATAGTTGAGGCTATAGAACTGTTTATAGTCGAGACTATAGAACTTTCTATAGTCAAGGCTATGGACAGTCCTATACTCTTGACCATAGGCAGTTCTATAGTCTCGGGTCAAGGGTATAGGACTGTCCATAGTCTTGAATATAGAAAGTTCTATAGTCTCGACTATAGACAGCTTTAAAGGCTTCACAATTGTATGGTGTCGGTTATAGAAAGTTCTATGGTCTTGGCTAAAGAAAGTTCTACAGTCTCGGCTATAAAAAGTTTTATAGTCTCTACTATAGGCAGTTCTGTAGTCTCGACTATAAATAGCTCTATAGACTCCAATATAGAACAGTTATATAATCGATATTTTAGACAGTTCTATAGCCTTAACTATAGTCAAGTCCATGTTTTAGACTATAATAAATTGGACGAAGCTATTAAGTTAAAATTTGTAACAAAATTTACAAGTTCTATATAATATCCATAAATAATAAATGTTCACACTTCTTCACTATGAACATGTTAAATATTTTCAGTTCCAATATTTCATTCACACCTTCCACGTTTTCCCTAGCACTACTACCTGTAGCAGCAGAAAACATTCACACCGACATTGAAAACGTGTGTGTGCACGCGAAAGATATTGTATCGAATGTTTCATTCAAAATTTAAAGATAATTGTTAAATAAAATGGAATTTCAATATCGATTTGATTTGTTTTGATATGTTCTTAACGGAATACAATTAAAATTTATTCTAAACAAATATTTATGCTAAAACAACTAATTGATTTTCGTTTTTGATGCTACAAATTTATACATATTTTAATTACGAAATGTTGAAATTTTGAAAAAAATAAGTAAGAAATGAAATAATATCTATATAAATAAATATTGGATCTGTTTGTTTTTTTTTGAAAACAATTATATAACTAAAAGGGATTTTGAAAATCCAGATGCTAAAACATAAATTTTATTGTTATAAATCTTAAATAATAACAATTTCTCTATTCAAAATTTCTTTTTGAAAGCTTTGTTACTAATTGACCCAATTTTTAATATTTATGACTAAAAATTATTTATTAAATTGTTGAAATACTCTAGGCCACAATAAAATATTGAGATGTTGTTTGACAAATTTTATTAAATTGTTGTATGTTATAATGTTATAGAAAAATCTGAAAAAAATTCTTCCAAAATATTTTGATTTAAACAACTTCTTTAAAAGTTTATAGTATATACTCTTCAATCCCCTTTATTATTGTTCTTAATGATTTTTTACAATTTCACCATATTTAGAGGCCATCTTTAATTTATGATTCTTTAATTATCATTCATTCACATTCGAATTAATTAAAGACAAAAACAAAAAATTTAATATTTATTTTACACCTTTAAGAGTATTTTGTAGCTGATCTTGTTGTTTATTTAAAAGTCAAATAAACAGAAAATAAACATATTAAAAACTATGTATTATTCCTTATATTGGTACTATATGAATATATATATGTTTTGTACTTGGTATGGAATCCCGCTCTATTGTTGCGATCCATTCGATACAATGTTTTACGTTTCTTTTCACACGATATATAGTGAAGTGTGGATGGAAATAAATTTTAAGAAAATTTAAAATATATTTTAATTGATAGTAAATTAATAGATACCTGGAATTGTACAAGATTGCAAATGATTTAAGAGTAATTAGTGCAAAATAATTGGGGAATGATTGGGGTAGGGACGCATCTACAATAGATATAGATAGATAGATAGATAGATATAGATAGATAGATAGTAGATAATGATAGATAGATAGATAGATAGATAGATAGATAGATAGATAGATAGTAGATAGAAGATAGATAGATCGCATAGATAGATAGATAGATAGATAGATAGATAGATCGATAGATCGCTAGCTCTGTCGGTCTAGTAGCTCGCTCGCTTCGCTCGCTCGCTCGTCTCGCTCGCTCGTCGCTCGCTCGCTCGCTCGCTCGCTCTTCGCTCGTCGTCGCTCGCTCGCTCCTCGCTCGCTCCTCGCTCGCTGCTCGCTCGCTCGCTCGCTCGCTCGCTCGCTCGCTCGCTCGCTCGCTCGCTCGCTCGCTCGCCCGCTCGCTCGCTCGCTCGCTCGCCGCTCGCTCGCTCGCTCGCTCGCTCGCTCGCTCGCTCGCTCGCTCGCTCGCTCGCTCGCTCGCTCCTCGCTCGCTCGCTAGCGCGCTCGCTCGCTCGCCTCGCTGCTCGGCTCGCTCGCTCGCTACGCTCGCTCGCTCGCTCGCTCGCTCGCTCGCTCGCTCGCTCAGCTCGCTCGCTCGCTCGCTCGCTCGCTCGCTCGCTCGCTCGCTCGCTCGCTCGCTCGCTCGCTAGCTCGCTCGCTCGCTCGCTCGCTCGCTCGCTCGCTCGCTCGCTCGCTCGCTCGCTCGCTCGCTCGCTCGCTCCTCGCTCGCTCGCTCGCTCGCTCGCTCGCTCGCTCGCTCGCTCGCTCGCTCGCTAGCTCGCTCGCTCGCTCCTCGCGCGCTCGCTCGGTCGCTCGCTCGCTCGCTCGCTCGCTCGCTCGCTCGCTCGCTCGCTCGCTCGCTCGCTCGCTCGCTCGCTCGCTCGCTCGCTCGCTCGCTCGCTCGCTCGCTCGCTCGGTCGCTCGGTAGCGCTCGCTCGCTCGCTCGCTCGCTCGCTCGCTCGCTCGCTCTCTCGCTCGCTCGCTCGCTCGCTCCTCGCTCGCTCGCTCGCTCGCTCGCTCGCTCTCGCTCGTCGCTCGCTCGCTCGCTCGCTCGCTCGCTCGCTCGGTCGCTCGGTCGCTCGCTCGCTCGCTCGCTCGCTCGCTCGCTCGCTCGCTCGCTCGCTCGCTCGCTCGCTCGCTCGCTCGCTCGCTCGCTCGCTCGCTCGCTCGCTCGCTCGCTCTCGCTCGCTCGCTCGCTCGCTCGCTCTCTCGCTCGCTCGCTCGCTCGCTCGCTCGCTCGCTCGCTCGCTCGCTCGCTCGCTCGCTCGCTCGCTCGCTCCTCGCTCCTCGCTCGCTGCTCGCTCGCTCGCTCGCTCGCTCGCTCGCTCGCTCGCTCGCTCGCTCTCTCGCTCGGTCGCTCGCTCGCTCGCTCGCTCGCTCGCTCGCTCGCTCGCTCGATCGCTCGCTCGCTGATCGCTCGCTCGTAGTTATGGATGGATGGGTGGAGTAGAATTGATCACGATTTATGATCACTAATATTTTTGACAAAAAAGTATGAACATTTTAAATATAACTTTTTAAATAAAAATCTAATGGAGATAAAGATTCCGATTTGTGATCACTCATATTTCAGACCAGAAACCGATTTTTCATATATAACGTAGTACAAATATTAGTACATAGGGAGAGCTCGATATGTGATCACTCAAATTTCTAACTAGAAATCTATATTTTGTATGAATAACTAAAATCATCTAAAATTTTAAAATATTCTATTAAAAAAGTTCTTTTCTTAATTTTTTATGTTAAGAGAAGATATTTGTTTAGAATTGAACTTGACGTTTCTATTTAATTTCATTCAACACTTAACGATAGTTTTATTAGACAATTGATTTATTACATTTTTCACATTATTTCCACACCTGAACATAATTTATTCAACACTGTTAGCAGCTACATTTAGTATTTAAATTTGGTTGATATGGCTGTTTAGATTTTCAATTAAATTTTTTCTTATAAATTTCAGTTTTTTTTTTATTGAAAATCAATTAAGCATCATAATTGTTTGCCAAAATGTTTTTTCTAATACTATTTGCAATTAAATACAAACATCTGTTGATCAGCAACAGGGATTTGAAATAAAAATAAATATGTAAAATTGTAAATTATTACATTATTTATATGGTTTTAATAAAAACAAATAAATCTTAATGAATTTTATAATAATTTTATTTAAATGAAAAATAATTTTCTCTTTTCTTTTCTTACAGTCCATGAGATTTTGAAAATTACCGTTTAAAATCCTTAATCCCTTTAAAGAAACTCATGTTCAATACGGAGAATGTCAAACAAACTGGAAACGAAATATAATTTAATCAATTCTAGAGGTCATCCGAAAACACCTCTGAAACCTTTTACAAAATATCGAAGAAGATTTAAATAACACACAGATATAGTATAAGCAAACGTTAAGACTTAAAGTGACGACGGCGTAAAAAATGTCTACACCTCGTCAATCGTTTCGCCGTGAAAGGAAAGAGAAACCACCCTTTCAACGTTTTAAGGATCATTTTCGTAAATTTACCGCGTTTATGTTTAGTAATGTTGGCATTATATTATTGGTAATATTATATACAATTGGTGGCGCCTTTATATTTCAAGCGATAGAGATTTTTGAATACGAAATCAGCAAAGATGTGGTGCCCGAAAAGTATGGTCTGTTAACGCGTAATTTTACGGCCGAATGTTTGGAGCGTATATGGCAGGAGACATCGCAAAATATAGGATTTTATGATGCGAAAATGTATAAGAGAAGGTTCGATTCAGATTGAAATCCCCTTGGGCATTGTCCGATTTTCCACTTTTACTTTAATATACTGACAACCATCTGTTCTTAATATTTTACAGAGTTAACGAAATTTTACTGGAATTCCAAAGATCAGTTGTACACAATCATCTAGTGGGTCAAGACATTAGTAAACAATGGAGTTTTTCGGGAGCATTTTTATATTCCTTAACCGTTATTACAACCATAGGTATGTTAGCGACCCAATGAAAAGTCTTACACTAGTATATTCTAACCTCTTTTCTAATTTCCTTTAGGTTATGGC